GGTGGTTTGCTAATGTTAATTTGGAGATCTTATAAGATGGTTGATTTTGTGAAGTGTGCTGTTTCGGTTGACCCTGGCGGTCAGACCGGCTGAGTGCCCCGGTCAGACCGTAGGTGTTGCGGCGGTCAGACCGGCCGGCCCGATGGTCTGACCGGCAGGATCCTGATCGATGTCGGTTTCGGGTTCTTTTGTTGAATTTGGATATTTCCTTCGGGGATTTGGCTTCTAGATGGTTTCTATGCGTAAGGATACTGTTGTTATACTAATGTGAGTCAAGTTGGGACGAACTTGGGCTCGGAATATGGTTTCTTGGTTGTTGCATGTGCAGGTGTTGCTTGAGGCCTCAGGAGAGTGTTGCCGGTGATAGATCGGAGTCAGCTTGGGAGAAGTTGATGTCCAGGGATCATGAGATCATGCGGGATACTAAAGGCTAGAGGTCAATGCACGTGGTGATGAAGAAATCCATATGGTATACAAGTGGGATTGTGTATGTATGGAAAGAGGAGTCGAGTTTGGAAGGGAGTCCGAATTCGGAAAGTTTGATTGAGATAAGGAAAGAGATAAGATGTTTACTTGCAAGAGAGGGTTTCCTACGTGGTTAGGAGTCCTAAGTTGTGTTAGATTCGTGGGCTTTGCACAGCCTACCTCATGTATAAATAGAGAGGGAGGGTGAGGCTTCCCGGTATCGAGTTTAGAGAGACTAGAGTTGAGAGAAAGTTAGGGTTTCGAGTTTAGTTCGAGATTTTGGTGAGGAGTGCTGTTGGTGCACTTTTTAAACACTAGTCGAGTGCTGTTGGTTTCGTTCGAGGGTAATCTTTAATTCCCCAAAAGATTTTAGGTTTTTGGTTTTCCCTACCATTCACCCCCCTCTGGTAGGTTTATTTGGTCTTGTGTGATCCTACAATCTGAAGTATTCATTGGGCAATTCATAAATACGCTGATCAGATGAACAGCGCAGAGATGAGAGATGTCAGGTTCAATGAAAATACAAATACTATGATCATTTATTGTTTAAAATAATAACGGTGAAAACATGCAAATAGATTATTTATATTCTTTAGAGGAACATCTTTTGTTATCTGTATTCTCTGCAGTAAATAGAATGAAATGTACAAGCTTATATATATCTCTGTGGCTTATGCATCTAGTGATGGATTTATTTGTGTAATCTTGTGAGCATTGCTAGTAGTTTCCTTTTTTGTTTTCTGCATGTAACTAGCTGGCTGGCTTGTCTAGCATTCGGTCAGCTCAACTAGTCGCTTTTCAGTGAGATAAGACCGAGCTAGAAACCACGATGTGGGATGGCGCATTAGTAAGATCTGGCATTTTATTCGGTCACGTTTTGCATGTAATGAACTCCGTTGGATGGAAGAGAATAAATAGAGAAAAACCGAAAAGCAGAAGAAGGTTGCACTGCACAAATTTCTTGCTTTGTTCCTCTGTTTTTTCTCTAAAACTTCAGACTACTGTTTCTGTTTGACAATCATCAAAATGAGAGAGTGTGAGCGAATCTGTGAGATTAATCTTGTCGTTTTGCCGACATCTAGGAACCTAACGATTCAAAACATACACTAGTACAGATCCTTCTATCTGTGATGGCCTCTAACATGCTTGGAATTAGCGGCCGTCACAAGGAAGTCATCTCAATCGGGCCGAAAAAGCGCCTGATTGAGATAACTCAGGCCCGTCACGAATGACACATATCAGTGACGGGCCGTAGTTTAGGCCCGATTGAGATAACATTCCATATCTCAATCGGGCCCCAAGTTGGCGCCCGTCACGGATAATGGAATGTTATCTCAATCGGGCCTAAACTACAGCCCGTCACTGATATGTGTTATCCGTGATGGGCATGAGTTTTATGCCCATCTAACATGTCTGTGCGGTCATATCTCAACAACTAGGCCCGTCACAGACGACTCATCAGTGACGGGATCTATACTAATGCCCGATTGAGATGACTTAGTATTTTTTTCATTTTTCATATGAAATGTTTATATTTGTGAGTTGACATGTAGCAAAATAATTGACTGTAGTATAATAATTCATTTTATTAGTCAAAATAATTTTTCGGGTAGTAAATTATTTCAAATGGAAAATTGTCAATAACAAAGTTGTATAACTTGTCAATATTTACAATATTTATTTTGGTTATTTTTCTTGATAAATCTCGATAATTTATACAACTTTGTTGTTGATGACTTTTCCATTTAAAATCATTTAGTATTTGAAAATATTGTTTGAAGTTGTCATATTTTCAAATTCAAATTCAAACTATTCAAAAAATGTTATATAGAAAAATGACCAAAATAAAAGCGATAGATCTTGATGAGTTTTTCAACTTTGTTGTTGACAATTTTTCCATTTGAAATCATTTACTACTCGAAAAATTATTTGAATTTCTTATATTTTAAAATTCAAATTTTATATAGTTCAATCAAACCCAAATAAAGAAATGACCAAAATAAAATTGGTAGATCTCACTGAGTTCTACAACTTTGTTTTTGACAGTTTTTTCATATGAGTTCATTTAGTATCATAAAATTCATTTCAAAATTTATTTTTGCCTAGAAGTTTGATTTGCCTCCTCATCATGTTAATACTTGCTAAATATATATTTGATCCAATTAACTCGGTTTTGCTGATGAAATATGTGAAATATGTGAATGGATGTGAAATATGTGATCAAAATTGATGTTATGTGAATGTGGTTGTGTTAAATATATTGATGGTTGTGTATGTGAAGGAATGTACAACTTCTTCTCCAGAAGTCGATTTCAAAGAACTCTGAGGTAAAGCGTGCTTAGGGTGGAGCAATTCCCGAATGGGTGATCGACCGGGAAGTTCTTCTCTGGTGGAGCAATTTCGTGATGGGTGACCGACCGGGTGTAGAAAAAACAAACCCGCGGGCGTGGCTAGCAAAGGCCTGAGGCTAGCCAAAAAACAAAAATTATTTTTTTTATTATACTTATCTGTGACGAGCTATAATTTAGGCCCGATTGAGATGAGAGTCATCCATGATGAGCTATAGTTTAGTCCCGATTGAGATGAGAGTTATCCGTGACGGCCTATGGTTTAGGCCCGTTAGAGATGAGAATCATCCGTGACGGGCTATAGTGTTAGCCCGATTGAGATGTGTGTCATCCGTGACGGCCGGATGCCCGATTGAGATATTTTCTCACATCAGTAACCTTTGCTTAGTGACAGGGAAGCTACCTGATAGGGATGAGGTTTTAGGCCCGTTACAGATGACCGAACCTGTTCTAGTGATAATGCTTTCAGTAATGAGCATAGTAAATAAATACTCCCTTCGTTTCATGTTATAAGACGTTTTGACTTTGGTTAAAGTCAAACTATTCTAAGTTTGATTAATTTTGTAGAAAAAAGTAGTAATATTTTTAACCTAAGACAAATATATTATGAAAATTTATTCAATTATAAATTTAATGAAACTATGCTTATGTTGTAAATATTACTATCTTTTTTTTTAGAGTTAGTCCAACTTAGAGTAGTTTGACTTTGACCAAAGTCAAAAACGTCTTATAACCTAAAACGGAGATATTAGAAAATAGGAAATTAAAAAAACTATTGACAAACTTAAATAGTCCATCGTAAGTAATATTGCTCTAAGAGCTAGGTTCTTCAATAGGATCAGACCCTCGTATTTTTGTTTTCTGTTGTATAGTTCCTGCACTCGTATAGATATTATATAAAGGCCAATTGTGTAAACATCTGTGTACAAATATATACATGCTTTAATGCTTAAGCGTTAGAATGATAACTATTGGATCACATTGACTATTTTTGTTCAGTTGTACTCTCCACTTATTTGTTTAGTATGCTACTCTCAATACTTGGTCGATCAGATTTGATAAACGTATTGAGAATTATTAGCCTTGAATGTTTGGCACATAAACTAGAAGCCGAGAGACAAGACTAGCCGAAGAACTACCTAGCCAGTGTTGACCGACAGTTATAACATCACAAACTCACAATAGTTTCAGACATTCACACTAGAACAGAACTGCTCATCTGTGACGGCCTATCCGTGTCGGGGGCTTGTGTGAACCGTCACACTGTCATCATCTATAACGGTATGAAATAAACACAAACAAAAGATCGCAGTTGCTATCTCGTGCAAACGCGCCGGATGCTTATCTTGCGCGCACACGGCAAGCCAACTGCACATGCATGCATGCCGAGGTATCAAAATTTCTATTATAAGATATTTTTAATAAAAAATATTGTATATAATTCAAATTTAAAAACTCAACTTGAAAGTTTTCAAATCGGAGTTGAATGTTTTTAAATCTCGAGTTGAAAGTTTTCAAATCTGAGTTGAAAGTTTTCAAATATCTAGTTGAATGTTCTCAAATCTCGAGTTGAAAGTTTTTAAATCTGAGTTGAAAGTTTTCAAAATTTATCTTGCAAATTTAAATTTCAAGTTGAAAATTTTCAAAGTTTGAGTTGAAAGATTTCAAAATTTGACTTGAAAGTTTAAATCTTAAGTTAAAAGTTTTCAAATCTAACTTGAAAGTTTTCAATCTATTAGAAAAAAGAAAAAGTTCTTGAAGGTACTAATTATGGTTAGCATTAATCACTAATCACGTCATCATTAGTGCTAATCACATGGTTAGCGACGGGCAGTGCACGCGTCGGCCATCGTGTACGCGGGCGTTAGGAATCCCCGACAAAGATATTATCGTACAGACAATTTCCATATGCCAACACTGCGGCCCGACAAAAATTATCTTTATCGGGCCCAAATCTAACCCTGTCATCGATGTGTGTTATCGGTGACGGGCTCAAAATTAGGCCCGACAAAGATGACGGTTTTAGCCCGTCACCAATGTGTGTCATCAGTCGACAAAGATAACTATAAAACCTGTCACAGCTACTAATATAAATAATGAGAACCAATCAGGCACAAAAGCATTGGATAACCCCAACAAAAGGAAAAGCATTGGATAAGATGAACTTCAATCAATTTGCGGGCAAACCTTCCATGGAGCAAAGGGATCGAACGACCGCCGGAACCCCGTCGCACAGACGACGGCGTCGGCGCCACGGATCGCATCGACCAACTTGTCTGTGCCCTCCATGACGTCAGCCCTCACCTTCAATTCAGACCACACACATGCATTTCGTGCTATCATCACCAACAAATCAAGAACAACAGCACAAGCTGCACGGAACGGAACACTAGTACTAGTGTGTCTCTGCGCAACTCACGAGCTGGAGGTTTGGGTCCTGGGGCAGGCTTCTGCGGGCGCGGCCCACGTCTGTCGTGCCGGCGACCACGCCGAAGCCCCTCTCCAGAAGCTTCTCCACGACCCGCTTGCCGGTGCGGCCCGTCGAGCCGGCCACGAAGACGGTGGTCGTCTTCTTGGCGTCCGACGAACTAGCGGGCGCGGAGTCTATGGTGGAGACCGCCGTGGAGGTGAGGCTAAGCTTTCTGGTGGCGGGGCGGGGGCCGGGGCAGAGGCAAGCGAACGCAGCGAGAGGAAGGCGGGGGCGGGCGGCGGCGATGGTGTGGAAAGCGGTGGCCATTAGATTCGTGTGGCTCCTGTTCTTTGCTGGTTAGAGATGTTTCTACTATTTTCTACTCCTAATTTCTAGTAGTGCTGTGGTGGTAGTAATAACTAAAAAATGGGCTCGCCTTCTAGGTAGCCTGTGCATATGACTTAAAAAAAAATTAATCAATATAGCCTCTTATATTAATGAGCTTGTCTATGGTGCTTTCTACAGGTATTCTACTACAAGTAGAAACGATCTAAACCATCCATTTTGAAGGGCATATTAATACTTACAAACTATGTGCTTAAGGGTAATTTGGGTATTTGTATTTTCCTTTTGTTTTAGTCTCGTATTGCTCCGACCATCTCGCCGCATCCATCCGCCGTCCGTTCCTGCACAGCCCGATTCCGGTGGTGGCGCCCATTTCGATCAGCCGGCGTTCATCCTGCCGCCGCCGTTTTATCTCACCGTCGGTGACCTCGATTATCCTGCCATCCTCCGCCCCTGGTATTCCCGCCATCGCTGATCCCTGTCTAGCCACCACGGCCGTGCCAACTGACTCCTTGCTGGCGACCACGCACATCTGCGCCGATCTCCTCCCTATCGACCACGGCCACGCCGATTTCTTCTGCCCTGACGACCGCGTCCACATCCGCGTTGACCTCCTCCTCCAACTGAACAGCTAGTATTTATTTTCGATTATCATGGTACTTGTGCGTTTGCTCCAAATCGAATTTGATTTCTTCGTTGTTGATAAGAAGAGGAACCTGCTACTGCTACTGCTGCTAGATTGCATATAGCGTTGTATACAAGTTCCAATTCGATTTATTGGATGTCAATTTGATATGGATGGATGCTGAATTTTGATTTGCGCTGGATGCAATATATTAATTCTGAAGATGTAATGTGCTAGCTATTATAATACTGTATTATTTGAACAAAATACAGTTCTAACTGAATCTCTGAACTTCAGAGTATGTATAAAATACTATTTTGACTGTTAATATCTGTTATGGTATATTTCTAAAGATCTAAAAGTATTGTTTGAAAAGAAAACACTCACAATTTTAGGATCGTTGACACAGTTCCTGAGTTTTCATTTGAGGGAACATTTCTGAATTAGAAACTCAGTTCCTGAGTTGTTTTTTTGGGAGCAGTTCCATATAGTTACTAACTCATAGTATTAATTACTAATTTGTCCATGAATGTCCAGAAGCATGCTCATAAATCATCATGATATATATTATTTAACTGCTAGAATATTTATTATATTATTAAAGGAATAGAAAAAGGAGCTTCCACGTTCGCTCTCACGGCCTAGAAACTCTCACATTAATCGGAGAAAAAGAAAAAGCAGAATCCATATAGAAATACAAATAGGAAATAACTGAAATTCGGAATTAAAAAATAAGGAATATTAGAAGAGGAGACTAGAGTCAATATAGAAATACAATTAGGAAATAGTTGAAATTCGGAATTAAAAAATAAGGAATATTAGAAGAGGAGACTAGAGTCCACATAGAAATACAATTAGGAAATAACTGAAATTCTGAATTAAAAAAAAGAATATTAAAAGATGAGACTAGAGTTCATATAGAAATACAATTAGTAAATACCTGAAATTCAGAATTAAAAATAAGAAATATTAGAAGTAGAGTATAGAGTCCATATAGAAATACAATTAGGAAATAATATAAATTTGTAATTGAAAATAAGGAATATTAGAAGTAGAGTATAGAGTCCATATAGAAATACAATTAGGAAATAATATAAATTTATAATTAAAAATAAGGAATATTAGAAGTAGAGTATAGAGTCCATATAGGAATTTAAAACTAACTAAAATTTGGAATAAACATAATAAAATTAAAAGTAGAGTTTAGAGTCCATATAAAAATACAATTTACAAATAACTAAAATTTGAAATTAAGAAAAACATGAGAAGAAGAGTTTAAGGTCAATATAGGAATACAATTTAGAAGTAACTAAAATTCAAAATTAAAAATTAAAGAATATTGAAAGATGAGTTTAGATTCCACATAGAAATACAATTAGAAATAATAAAAATCCAGAAATAAAAATAAATAATATTGAAAGAAGAGCATAGAGTTTATATAGAAATACAATTTACAGAAAATTCGGAATTAAAAAAAAGAAATATTAAAAGACAAGTCTACAGTCTATATAGGAATATATATAATTTACAAATATAATATGAATATTACACATTAGTAGTTTAAGTTATTGCAAAATTTAAAATTATGTTGTCATTTCAATATATTTGAATAATATAATGAGAAAACATATATGCTATTATATGAGAGAAAATATAATGATGCTAGCCGCGTAATCTGCGCGGGCCACCATGCTAGTTTTCATTATGAGATGAGATTTTAAAACAGCCGCGATTGCCAGATTCACTTGTATCACAGAATTTTTCACTTTCCTGAACATGTTTGCAACTTGCGAAGTAATCCCCAAGCCGGAGCTATGAGAGGGAGCGTGTGTAAGAAGCACCAACACAATTGAAGGTTGGGGATGGACCATTGACGTTTCTTCAGCTTTTTATTTTGTTGTATCAGACTTTGTTCACATGATTATATACTTCTTAAGTGATAAAAATTCAACATATAAATTCAGATCAACCTATTAACATAGGCTGTGTTTAGATTCCAACTTTTTTCTTCAAACTTTCAATTTTTCCGTCACATCAAATGTTTGGACACATGTATAAAGCATCAAATGTGAAAAAAAAATCAATTACACAGTCCGACTGTAAAATTGCAAGACGAATCTTTTAAACCTAATTACGCCATGATTAGCCATAAGTGCTACAGTAGTCCACGTACATGTGCTAATAACGGATTAAATTAGGCTTAAAAAATTCGTCTCGCAGTTTACAGTCAAAATCTGTAATTTGTTTTGTTATTAGTCTACGTGTAATACTTCAAATGTGTGTAACGAAACGTTAAAAAAAAATTTGGACGGCAACTAAACACGGCCTATGGACAACAAGAGTACGTCTAGCTTCCTTGCACACATAATGGTTCACAAAAGTTCAGAATTACCAGGCACAAAAGTGCCATCACACTTGTTTTAGAACAGCACCAAAACAGAGATAGCTTCTTGGCTCCGACCATGGTTCACAAATAGATTCACAACTGTACTACCACAGAAGTACATATGTAGATTCACAACTGTACTATCACTGTACTAGGTAGGCTTCATTTCAGGTTCAGGGTGAGCTTCCTTGCACATGCCTTCTTGGATGCAGGTGCCGCCTGTGAGCTTGCACCTTCCGGATGGAGTTGATTCCTTTCACATGCCTTCTTGGATGCAGGTTTTTGCTGTGAGCTTGTTCCTTCTCCTTGTTCCATGATTCCATCAACATAGCGAGCCACCTGGAAGAAAAAATGCATCAGTTTGTCAAAAGCAGCATACTTCAGATGCCACTTGATGTAATGTTCAGAATTGTAATCTCACAACTTACAAAGCTGAAACTACTTAAAAACAAATGATCCTGACCTACAACCGTACCCAATTTGCAGATACAAACATGCCATAATGATACATCAAACTAGCATATCAATTCGTTGTGATCAAAAGTTAGGTTGGTCTGCGGTTACACACGGAAACAAGAACAGCCATATTGTAGCTGGCCATTGATGAATAGAACCACACAAAACCTACCATCTCGATCAACAGATTGATGAATAGAACCGCACAAAGCCTACCATCTCAACAGCAAAGCAAAGGGGCGATATATGAAACCTTACATATCGGGATGACGAAGGGCAGGAAGCTTCCCCGTCTCTGACGTGCATCAGCTACCGCCCCGGCTCGTACTCCCACCGAGAACCTCGTCAACGCCATGCAGTTCGCCATGCACCATAGCCGCTCCGCCACCGCCGCAACAGGCTAATCATCTCCTCGTCGCAATCGGAGGAGGCGGAATCAGCAGAGGCGGCAGAACCAGCGGCTGAGTCAGAGAGGGTGGTGGAGGCGGCGAGGGCAGGGGACAGGCGGCGGCGGGGGGAAGCGATTTGAGGTGGCGGCGACGAACGACACACAGAATGGCTGCTAGGTTCGGGGAGTGATAAATAAGAGGGTGGTGGAGGCGGCGAGGGCAGGGGACAGGCGGCGGCGGGGGGAAGCGATTTGAGGTGGCGGCGACGAACGACACACAGAATGGCTGCTAGGTTCGGGGAGTGATAAACAAGTAAACACCCCGCGCGTTGCTGCGGGCAAAAAGGAGATCTAAATTTAATTTACATTCAAGTATTTCAATTTGCCATATGGTAAGGTCTATTTGAATTATGTAAATTGAGAAAGAAAAACTGACACCAAATATTAAGCATGGCACATAAAAATTCGTAAGCAACAGTAACGTTTCATGAAACCGGAAGGTACACCAGCTCTTCAATTCTACACTTATCCAACATTCTAACTAATGTTTCTCGAATGCTATACCACAAAGAAAGATTGAAGCAAGAGTAGGTCCACCAATGAGATATTCACCTACTTAAACCATAGCCCATATATATAGCTGCATGTGTGTTTTTCCTTCTAAGTTTGAAATAATGAAATTGCAACTGTTTTTCCTTCTAAGGTCGGCAGGTACCTCAGAAGGGAAATAACATGGCTAATGAAAAGTAGTGTTTTCTGAAAAGGATAGTTTCCAATGGAATTTGTACAATATTATTATGCAAAGGATTGCTTTCTGGAAGTAAAGAAACTGGTCAGGACACATGTAAATAGATGCATCAAGACACAATACGTCTTAGAAGGGTTTGCCTATTAGCTCTTGAATAAAAACTGAATAATGTGTTTGATAGAAATGATTTTGCAGGTGAATTGTTCATGTACCTGTGGAAAAGAGAACCGGTTAGACAACATGTCAAAAATGCCACAAAAATTAGCTTACAGCAGAACAGGGCAACAACCAGTTTTTTATGGACACTGGTATTTGACCATTACAATTTGTGGAGCAAATCAACACATGAAAAATCTCTATGATCAAATAAATTCGTATGAAATATACATGAAACCAAGAATGCAGGTTGTAAGGTGAACAAATGCACATGTGCCCAAGAAAACAGTATAACACTGCCACAGAATTTTTCCCTATATCAGAAAGCCTAAAGGTACACTGCAACAGTAAAGAAAGAATAACTCCAGGCATTGTGTTGATACACATTCTGGTCCAGATGAATCATCTAGGCAAATAAAAATATTACATAGCTCATTGTTATCAGTTATAAAACCTAGGCCTAACTCTTATATAAGCAAAAGCAAAAAAGAAAATTAAAGGCAAGTAAAATCGATGGATAGTTTTAATTACCTGTAGCCACAACCAAGTTCACTGAGCTAACCAACAACAAATACTTGTAGATACTATGTATGTACGTACATATGCTATCATATATAGGACATGACCGTCCAGCCAATTTAGCTTCTAGATATTTCAAAGAGTTCTTCTCATTTTTTTGATACCGATATTTCAAAGAGTTCTAGACAGCTGATGTTGAACCATGATTAGGGTCATGCATCTTGCTTGTAAGATTATTGCAACAAAAACGAAAGCTTCTGAATAATTCTGAAATCTGCAAGTACTTAACGAAATAATATAATAACAAAGTTGCGTACCTTTGTTTGGTTTTAGTATAATTCGCCGGGTTGTTCACAGAGTCAGTGGACAAAAAATATATAGCAGAACACAACTGCTTATCCAAATGAGATTTTGATGACTGGAAAATAGCTTCTGAGCAATACAATACTGCAGCAGGCAAAAGAACAGACCACTCTTCAATAAATTTACCTTGTAAATAATGAATGCAAATCATCGATTGTAGAGTAAAGGATGGTGAAAAAAAGTATACCAAATCAAGCATTGTCGTGGGTCTTGTGGAGATTATGGATACCCCATATCTGCATGACAGTTATACTTTAGTCAGATATATGGTACCAAATATAGATAGAATATCTTTATGAGGACTCGGGTTAGATTCTAAACTTGTATGCCAAGAAAATACCCGGGATCCTAGTCGGTTACGATTGTATTTTATCTGTAATCCCATATTCCGTTAGGATATGGACTGTACCTTGTATTACGGATCCCTTCCCCTATATAATGAGGGTCCGTGTGCCTCTTGGGGCACGATTCTTTTTTCTTCAATCATACAATCAATAACACACTCGGCGGAATCATCCCCAGACAGGAGTAGGGTATTACTTCTTTAATAAGAAGGCCTGAACCTGTATAAAATTCCTTGTCTCCAAACCCATCCACTTTCCTAGCTTGACAGCCACCCCCTTTATTATTGCCGAAATCTTGTTTCGATAGTTGGCGCGCCAGGTAGGGGTGGCGTCAAGTTCTCGCCGACTAAGTACGATGGGTTTCGTTTCTGGCATCGACGACTTCGTCTTGCCTCCCGGGCAGGCGTTCCGATTCGGCAGCCTCGACTTCATCACCAACGACTTCGGCAAGATCTCTCTCCTTGACTCGGATTCAAACCAGTCGGGGAGAAACCAGGTCCCCGTGCCGTTCGGTATTCCGAACTCGGCCGAGGCCTACTCCAAGATCATCTCTCCTGAGTCGATTTCAAGCCACTCGGACGAGATCCAATCTATTCCCCCACGATCAGATCAAGACGACGGGTCCTATCCCTCAATCTTGATGAAACTTCCTGATGACTTGGCCGCCGTCTTCACAGCCAAAACATCTCCCACTCGGAGATCTAGGCGAGCTCCGGCACCGGCCCCGATCCAGTCTAGATCCAGGGAGGTTGGCGTTATACTCCAACCTCTTGGGACAGTCTCGACGGAAGAGTTGGATGGCTACCTCAGCTCCCCCGGCGTCAGTTCCCGACCAACCGAGATCCTCGACTACGACGACTTCGGCTACCACTACGACCATGGCGACTTCGACAACTTTGACGACAGCTACGAGGATAACTACACGCCCCTCTTCTTCGGCGTATTCATGGCTGACAACGAAACAGAAGAACAGCGCCGAGCCCGAGAAGCAGAACAAGATCGCGCACGGCAAGAAGCTAAACGTCGCCGACTGGAGGAGGAGCGACAGCGACAGGAGCGAGAACGACTACAGCGTGAACAACAAGATCACGAACGGATTGCAAAGGAAGCTGAAGATCGACGGCACCGTGCCTTGGAATCTGGGCGCCGAGCGAGAGAGCTCATTGGGCAACAAGACGTCGACGGGACAGCGGTCTTTCGCACCCCCCAGCAGAACGCGGTTGCAGCAATCACTCTCCTCGACACCCTCCTCAAGGAAGACGCCCTCAACCAAGCCGATCATGTTGTCAACATCTTGAACCAGACGAAGACCATGATCGCTGCCTCGGTTCCAGCCAACTCCGCAAGCACCCGCACCCCGACTGGTAGCCGAGTCCCTCATCATCAGCCAAGCCTCAGCATCACCGGCACAGGATCTAGTCACAGGAGCAGGGGTCACGACGAACGATCTGTTCACTCGCTTCTCGAACGTCACAGGGAGCGCCGAGCTAAACAGCCTCGTTCTCCACCTCGCCAGCGTCCCGTCGACCTTCGTGACACGATCAACCAGCACCGTGCAGCACGAGGTCACCGTCATTCACCAAATCGCTATGACGACGACGTGGATGGAGTAGCTGCCTTCACTAATGACCTGCATCGATTGGATTGGCCAGTCGGCTTCAAACCGACTGGAATCGAGAAGTATGACGGCACCACCAATCCGGAGTCTTGGCTCACCGTCTACGGACTCGCAATCCGCGCAGCAGGTGGAGACAGCAAGGCCATGGCAAACTATCTACCTGTGGCCCTAGCAGACTCCGCCCGATCCTGGCTCCACGAACTACCCCGTGGCACGATCGGATCATGGGCAGAACTTCGTGATCACTTCATCGCCAACTTTCAGGGCACCTTTGAACGCCCCGGCACACAGTTTGATCTCTACAACGTCGTTCAGAAGTCTGGAGAATCCCTTCGAGATTACATCCGACGCTTCTCCGAGCAACGCAAAAAGATCTCCGACATCACCGACGACGTCATCATCGCCGCCTTCACTAAAGGCATTCGCCACGGGGACCTAGTCGGCAAGTTCGGACGTAAACCTCCCAGGACGGTTAAGCAGATGTTCGAAAAAACCAACGAGTATGCCAAAGCCGAACATGCTATCACCGCGTCCAAACAGTCGGGCACCACTTGGAAGCCAAAGAAGGACACGCCGACTGCAGGGGGGAGTGGAAGTAACAACCACAAGGATCGCAAGCGTAAGCCCGAAGAACTTGTGGCGACCACCTCTCCATCTTCCCGACAACGTCCCCGCTTCAACACCTTCGACAAGATAATGAACTCTCAATGTCCGCATCATCCCAATTCCAACCACGTGGCCAAAGATTGCTTCGTCTACAAAACAGTTCGTGGAGCAATACGTCAAGAACGCACATCAAAGAAGAAAGATGATGAAGACGATGCCCCGACTGGTTTTCAAGATCATCGCAAAGAACTTAATCACATCTTCGGCGGACCCCTGGCTTATGAGTCCAAGAGAAAACAGAAGCTAACAGAACGGGAGATCAATGCAGTTCAGCCTAACACGCCCCAGTATCTTCGGTGGTCAGAAACAGCAATTAAGTTCGACCGCTCGGATCATCCCGACCGAGTGGTCCACCCGGGGCGGTACCCCCTGGTACTAGACCCAGTGGTTCGCAATGTCAAGCTCTAACGGAATATCATCGATAGTGGCAGCGCACTCAACATCCTTTTCACTAAGACCCTGGACGATATGCAGATTCCTCGCACGGAATTAAAGCCGAGTAATGCACCCTTCCACGGTGTTATCCCAGGATTGTCAGCTACACCACTCGGCCAGATCACTCTTCCAGTTACCTTCGGCACTCGGGAAAATTTTCGCACAGAAAATGTTTGTTTCGAAGTTGCCGATTTCGAGACAGCATATCATGCTATACTTGGACGACCGGCTTTAGCCAAATTTATGGCCGTCCCACACTACACCTACATGATGATGAAGATGCCTGGTCCTCGAGGGGTTATATCACTACGGAGCGACATCAAGCAGGCCGTCACATGCGACAAAGAAAGCTGCGAGATGGCCCAAACCCACGAGACTACTTTTGCTCGCGAAGAGATCCGACTATCTGCAACCACGACAGGCGAGGGAGAAGTGCCTGCAACCAAGCTGACGAAGACCGAAGAAAGTGATGCCAAGACGAAAAAGATTCCCCTAGATCACTCCGATCCTGATAAGACTGCTGTAATAGGCGCTGAGTTAGATTGTAAATAGGAAAGCGCGCTCATCACCTTTCTTCAGAATAATAAAGATATTTTTGCGTGGAAACCATCCGATATGCCTGGTATCCCCAGAGAGGTGATTGAGCACTCTTTACATGTTAAGGAAGACGCCAAACCCATCAAGCAACGACTCCGCTGTTTTGCACAAGACAGGAAGGATGCGATCAAGGAGGAATTAACCAAGCTGTTAGCAGCAGGCTTCATAAAGGAAGTCCTTCATCCCGACTGGCTGGCTAACCCAGTCCTGGTTCGGAAAAAGACGGGGCAATAGCGAATGTGTGTCAATTATACCGACCTCAACAAATCTTGTCCCAAAGACCCTTTTGGGTTACCTCGCATTGACCAGGTGGTTGACTCAACGGCCGGCTGCGAGCTACTCAGCTTCTTGGATTGTTACTCGGGATATCATCAGATCCGACTAAAAGAATCCGACTGCTTGAAGACCTCGTTTATTACACCCTTTGGGGCCTACTGCTACATCACCATGCCCTTTGGATTGAAGAACGCAGGAGCAACCTATCAACGCATGATTCAAAGGTGTTTTTCAACTCAGATCGGTCGCAATATTGAAGCCTATGTTGATGATGTAGTCGTCAAGACCAAGCAGAAGGATGACCTGATTGCGGATTTAGAAGAAACTTTCACAAGCATTCGTGCTTTCAAGATGAAACTAAACCCGGAAAAGTGCATCTTCGGAGTACTGTCAGGGAAGTTGCTCGGATTTATGGTATCTCAGAGGCATACAGGCCAACCCAGAGGCATACAGGCCAACCCGGAGAAAATCAACGCCATCCTCAACATGAAACCGCCAAGCTCCCAAAAAGACGTCCAAAAGTTGACTGGTTGCATGACGGCGCTCAGCCGGTTCGTCTCATGACTCGGCGAGCGGGGGATGCCCTTCTTCAAACTGCTGAAGAAAACTGACGATTTCCAGTGAGGACCCGAAACACAAAAAGCCTTTGAAGACTTCAAGAAACTCCTCACCACTCCACCAGTATTGGCCTCACCGCATCCACAAGAACCGCTACTGTTATATGTGTCGGTGACCTCCCAAGTTGTGAGTACGGTCCTGGTTGTCGAGCGTGAAGAGAAAGGCCATATTCAAAAAGTCCAACGACCAATCTATTTTGTCAGCGAGGTTTTAGCCGACTCCAAGACAAGGTATCCTCAGGTTCAAAAGTTATTATATGGTGTCTTAATTACCGTCAGGAAATTATCTCACTATTTTCAAAGTCACTCGGTCACGGTGGTCACATCGTTTTCACTCGGGGATATACTTCATAATCGCGAAGCAAACGGGCAGATTGCGAAGTGGGCCTTAGAATTGATGTCTTTGGATATATCTTTCAAACCACGAACTTCGATCAAGTCACAAGCTCTAGCTGATTTCCTTGCCGAGTGGACCGAGTGCCAAGAAGACATGCCAGAGGAAAAGATGGAATATTGGACTATGCATTTTGATGGGTCGAAGAGGCTTACAGGCACTGGAGCTGGGGTCGTCTTGATTTCCCCGACTGGAGAAAGATTGAGCTACGTATTGTGGATACATTTTTCTGCGTCCCATAACGTAGCGAAATACGAAGCCCTATTCCATGGACTAAGGATTGCAATATCTCTAGGTATTCGCCGACTAATCGTCTGTGGAGACTCTCAGTTGGTTGTTAATCAAGTCATGAAAGAGTGGTCATGTCTAGATGTTAATATGACCGCTTACCGACAAGAGGTACGTAAGCTGGAAGATAAATTCGACGGACTCGAGCTCACCCATGTCCTCCGACATAATAATGAGGGGCCAATTGCATATTTGCCACTAGTTTGAATTGGTATTATGAATCTGCCATTAGAAAAAATACAATTGCATATTTGCCACCAAAAACGGTTCGAACCCATCCTATCCGCCATTGGATTGACAGCTTGGACAAACACCGTTAGAAGGTTGGTTTCCCTGAAAATTATGACAGGATGTCCTACCAGGAAATTGTAAGATTTACATATTATGGCATGAATTTATCCTCCTTCGACTGCTACATGCCAAAATGATATCGTAGTTGTTCCTGCAAATTCGTGGGCAGATGATGTGATTCAAGCTGCTGCTGTTGTTGCCGCAACAGCTTGCTGCTGCCGCCCAAGCTGCAGCCACATGTAGATTGTAGAACAGACCGCTACAGCGCTCGCCTCGCCCCCATCGCTGCCCAAGCCGCCTGCAGATCCGACTGTCGCAGCGCCAGCCTCCGTCGCCCGCAACCGCCCATCACTGCCCAAGCAGCAGCCGCCTGCTGCTGCCGCTGCAAACCTGACCGTCGCCTTGCTGCCCTAACCCTCCAAAATCTCTCCCCTATAACTTTTTCATTGCTATCTTCTTCCTCATTGTGACCAATTTTCAGATGATTTGGTCTGGATTTAGAAGAAGAGATGAGATTTGAGGATCTAGGGTTTCTCAAGACAGGGGAGGGAGAAGGGATCGCGGATGAGTATTGTATGTCTGGGCCAGGACTCCGGAGAAGAGGCAGGGAGCTGATCGATCGATCTTGGCAAGGGAAAACCGGTAAATTGTTGTCTTGATTTTTCTCTTTGGTTTTCTAAATTGTTTTTATTGTCTTAATTGTCCTTGACCAACGGAAATAGTAAACGGAAGTTATTCCAGTGGCAAATTTGCAGTTTGCGTTTTTTTAATGGCTATTTCGAGTTAGAGGATAAAAGTAGTGGTATATTTGCAATTCTCCCAATAATGAGGCAGCCGACAGACTGGCCAATTTTGGTTCAAAACGGGAAGCAGCTCCTTCAGATGTGTTCGTCGAACATCTTTACGAACCGACCGTACCCAGAAAGGAGATAACTGAAGCCATGGATACTCAAGGCGTAGGCATGCTTGAAGCCGACTGGAGAGAACCGTTTATAAAGTTTTTGAGCAAACAAGAACTCCCTCAAGACAAAAATGAAGCCGAGCGGATTTCCAGGCGCAGCAGACTTTACATTATTCATGAGACTGAGCTGTACAAGAAAAGTCCATCAGGAATACTGCAGCGCTGTGTATCTTTGGAGGAAGGGAAACAATTGTTGAAGGATATACACTCTGGTATTTGTGATAATCATGCTGCTGCACGGACCATTGTCGGCAAAGCTTACCGGCAAGGTTTTTTCTGGCCTACAGATGTGTCCGATGCAGATAAGATTGTGCGGACATGCGAAGGTTGTCAATTTTTTGCCAGACAAACTCATTTGCCAGCCCAAGAGTTGCAAACCATCCCGTTGTCCTGGCCGTTTGCGGTCTGGGGGCTTGACATGGTCGGCCCATTTAAAAGGGCAGTCGGCGGTTACACACATCTCTTCGTGGCTATCGACAAATTCTCCAAATGGATTGAGGCTAAACCGGTTATCACAATCACAGCAGATAAAGCTAGAGATTTTTTCATCAACATTGTGCATCGGTTTGGGGTACCTAATCAGATCATCACTGATAATGGCACTCAATTCACTGGCGGAACATTTAAAGACTTTTGTGAAGACTTCGGTATTAAAATTTGTTATGCCTCCGTGGCACACCCTATGAGTAACGGACAAGTTGAGCGCGCTAACGGCATGATACTGCAAGGGATCAAAGCACGAGTTTTCGACCGACTACGCCCCTATGCTGGCAAGTGGGTAGATCAGCTGTCGTCCGTACTTTGGTCTTTACGCACTACTCCTAGTCGGGCTACCGGCCAGTCGCCATTCTTTTTGGTTTATGGCGCAAAAGCAATGTTACCGAGTGAAGTGGAATTTGAATCACTCCGATTTCGGAACTTCAACGAGGAGGGCTATGAAGAGGGCCGAGTAGACGACATCAACCGACTAGAAGAAGCCCGAGAAGCAGCTTTAATTCAATCGACTCGATACCTGCAAGGGTTGCGTCGTTATCATAATCGGAATGTTCGATCGCGAGCCTTTTTAGTCGGTGACCTGGTTCTGAGGAAAATTCAAACAACACAGGATCGGCATAAATTATCTCCCTTATGGGAAGGACCGTTCATAATTGCTGAAGTCACTCGACCAGGTTCTTATCGACTCAAGCGCGAAGATGGTACTATCATCAACAATTCTTGGAATATTGAACACCTTCGTCGATTTTACGCTTAGGCATTTCGTTTGTATCTTTCCTCTTTGACTGCTAACTTCAAGTTTTTCCTCGAAGTTTTCAGTTAGGGGGCTACTATAATAATAATGGAGTGTGATTTTTATCAATTCAATTTGCTTACTTGATGTATCATTGCCCTGTTCGATTTCTCGGCTTAGTCAATGAGGACTGAAAGTTTTTTAACAACTTTTGCAGGTTTTAGGCTCAACAAGGTTTGACAAAAACTTTTAAGAAATCAGGAGCTAAGTTAAGATATCAAGCACAGCATAAATTCATCAGTATTTTACAAATTGTGCCTCCATCATCATTAATCATCAAGATTATCGGTACATTAATCAGTATCAGTCTTTTCATCATCAGAAATATCAAGACTAGTCGGTCGAAGATCGGTGTCCTGAAATCTCTCAACTACATCAGCAGCAATTTTGTCAGCCGCTTTCTGCGCATTACTGATGAGGTCAAGAGCAGCTTGTTCGCTCGTCCCGTCTGCAAAGCCATCAATGGCGTCAATATCAACTCTCGGATAAAGGGATTTAGTCATCGCCAATGCCATGCTTGCTCCCATACTTCCAGCTTCTTTGATGTTCTTGAAATATATATCCGGAGCAACTCTCAGCTTGTCGAAAATTTCAGAAGCATCAAGTGCACTAGGGCCGTTGTTATTGAGGAACATCGCTTGAACTATTGGGGCAGCAGCGTTAGCAACCTCATCCCGGGCTCCTTCAAGTTTTTTGATCTTGCCAACCAGGACGTCGAATTGAGCTTGAGATTTGATCTTGCAGTCTGCATCGACAGACTCAAATTAATAAGTCAGCATATGGAAGATAATGGCTTTTGAGGTATTGATTGTTGATACCTTCAACTTCCTTTAAAGCCAGGTCTTTTTGTCTTGCCAGTTCTGCCTTGTCGTTTCCCAGAGTTTGAATTTGCTTCTCCAACTGAGATATCTTGGCAGCTTGCACTACATTGATTACTGTAAATCAAGATCGCAAAGATAACAGTATGAATCAGGTGGGCAGAGTTTGCGCGAACCTTTTGATGAGCCACTCAGTTCAAAATTGGATTCCTGGAGCTCGGCAATTCGATTCCTCAGATCATGCTCATTTTTCCTGGCAAGCTCTTTTGTTTCGTGCAGCAGACTCCTGGTGGCTTCGAGGGTCCCGAGATGAGGGACTAGCCTCTCTAAGGTTGCCGTTTTAACTTCGTTCCTAAGATGAATCCTCTGCAAGACAGTTTAATTAGCGCATGGATTAAATGGCAAACAAGATGGTCAAGATCAGGTACCAGAGGGCTTACATTTACCATACGGGTTGCCTAACTAAGTGCCTTCTTCAGTAGGCATAACTCTTCGTCCTCTTTTTGCTTATTTATCACGATCCCTTGAGGCTGCATGTTGTCATCCCACCACTTGACCAGAATCGGAGGGCGTGAACCCTCAGCTGCTTGTATGCGGGGAATTTCTTCTTCATCACTGATCATTGGCCCTAATGTATCCACTGACAGAGGTTAGACAATTGGTCAGAGTTATTTGGGTCGACATGGTTTCAGACAAAGTGTTTTACCCGTAATGATTTCTGGACGAGGACGAGTGGATTCGGATGCCTTTAAAGGAGATCCAGATCTCTGGTTATTGCTGGCGTCTTGACCGCGAAGGCTGTTTGCTTGAGCTCCGACTTCTGGAATCTCTTGGCTTGGCCCTGCGTCCGACTGGTTTCTAGTCGGGGGCTCCTGATTAACTCTGGCTTCGGCTTCGGCCGACTGGTTTCCAGTCAGGGGTTGATCACCGGATCCTACGTTATCGGTTGCCGGCTGATTGTCACTCGGACGGTCCTCGGCAGTTGGCCCGGTTTCTTTGGAAGAACTTGCGTCCATGCTAGTCGGGTCAGAATCTTTCCCAGACGGATCTATATCAGATGGTTTCCTGCAAATTTGATTATCAGTGTTATTGCCGCAATGGATGCACATTAATGCAAGAGAGATCGTTATATGAGTTGTACCTAGAAGACTTCCTGATCTTTGGCGCAGGGCGACTGGTGGTTTTCTTCCTTGGAGTAGCCTGTTTTGGTAGTTTCTTGGTTGTCTCTCGGTCTCCAGGCCGCCTGGCAGTATCATCGGCTTCGTCGTCACTTAAAACCAGCTTCCTCTTTCGAGAGTCTGACTGGCCGACTGGATCAGAAGCACTTGGTTGAGGTTCAGACCGAATTCTTGGTCCTTCGCTCCCTTGCCCAGTTTAGTGGCGGGGAGATCGGCGTTGAGCGATTGGGGGATCCGACTTCATCAAAGCAAATTCCTGGGTGTAATATCTTTCATTGTTAATTGATTCAACAGGAAAGCAAGATCGCATTTTGGGGAAGGATGAAATGTTTGAGTGCATACTGGTGGAGGAGGGTTGAATGCGTTGAATGGCACAACGGGCAACAGATATGAATAGCTGACAACAATAGCGTTTGAGAAGATTTTGTACATTCTTTCTTTCATGACCTTAAAGTCAAGAGAATCTGGATCTTCCCGATTTGGATCATGCTTGCCATCAAACTCAAAAGCTGTGCGTGATCTTTCTTTGATTGGAGCTAACCGACACTTGATAAAGTGCCGGGTGATCTGCTCTCCTTGAAGACCCTGTTCTTTCAGCTTTATCATCCTCTCCATCAGTTCTACTGCCTGAGCAGCTTCATCTCCCATAGGCAATGAGTTCCATGTGTCCTGGTAAACCGGAGGAAGACAGCAGTACTCGGGAAGTGCGGGCTCAGGATTCTGAACATAGAACCAGTTCGCATGCCAGCCTTTGTTCGAGGTTTTGAAGGGCATGGAGAAATATTTTTGGCTCAAGGTTCCTCTGAGTTGGAAACCAGCTCCCCCAACAACGCACGGCTTGTTTTTGTTTGGTTGGGGCTTGAGGAAGAATATGCGGCGGAACAAGGCGAAATGAGGCCTAATGCCCAGAAAAGCTTCGCAAGCGTGGATGAAATTGGCAATATGTACTATGGAGTTTGGATTCAAGTGATGCAAGCTAATCCCGTAGAAGTTCAGAATGCCCCGGAAAAATCTCGAAGTTGAAAGAGAAAATCCGCCATAGAAGAAATGAGCAAATACCACGATTTCGTGTGTATCGGGGGTCGGGAATACCTCACCAAATGCCGGTCGCCACCCGATGATCTCTTTTGCTGGAAGAACGCCGTGTGCCACCATCTCCTTCAGATTGTCTTCCGTCACATCGGAGGGCGCCCACTGACTCTCGAAGCTTTCTCTTTCTTCCGCCATGAATGTGAACTGGATGGATTGATTTAGTTCGAGATATGGCTGGAAAGGGATGGGGGAATCGGAGCGGTGGATGCGGGGAGAAATCTTGTGAAGTTTTTGTGGGTGGATTGGAGCGGATTGATGAACCCTAGTTTGTCCGGCGCAGTTTTGCACTGTAGCAGGAAATGGGGAAAATGGCGAGAGTCTCGGTGGGGAAGACGAAGAGACGTTTTTCACTTCAGTATTATTAGGTTATCGGGAGTACTAATGGGCCTGGGCCTGTACAGTACTTCAGCCCAATTATGTTTTCAGCGTGGCCCGTTGTGATCCCTAGGGACTTAGGCGCTTTTTGCTTTGGCAATATGTGCTCACAATGATGTGGCCCGATGTTGTTAAAATCCTTTTTAACGCGATTCAATAATTCTTTGGAATTATTATGATGCACATGAAAAGGTGCCCGACAGAAAGGTGTTATACCATTTTTGTAAGCTTTTTTAGGCTACAAGAGCTGTTGGGTTAATTTAAGATGACTGGTTTATTAGTAGTCATTCTACTAGCATGTTATATGCTTATTTTGGTTATGGTAAGGGTTACAGCTCAGGCTGTTAGACTCATTAATTACCATGATTTTCTGTTATGTTTGGTGGATCATTTTAAGAGTTTCTTGCTCGGATTCCTACCAAATATATCTATTTTTGGGCCTTTTGAGTGTTTGTCACTCGGCCCTTCTTGTATTTTTTGTCCTTGATATATTCAAGTTGAGAAGCAGTCGGCTGGGTATCTTACTAAGTACCATGCGTGCTTCGCTATAAAACCACTCGGTTCTTGACTATATGTTTAGTTTTTCAACTAATCACATAGTCGGGGGCTACACCTAATTAGGTGCATCTACTCGATGCACCATGTTTTATTTTCGCCATTCACAGTTTTTGATTTTTAGTACTCGACAAGCTGGAGCAAGTTGAATTAAAGCACTCGGACTACTGGTTTTTGTTTCGAGAAGGTTGTTTCGTCAACTGCGAAGGTCTCGGAGGCTACTGTGGAGATTATGGATACCCCATATCTGCATGACAGTTATACTTTAGTCGGATATATGGTACCAAATATAGATAGAATATCTTTATAAGGACTCGGGTTAGATTCTAAACTTGTATATCAAGAAAATACCCGGGATCCTAGTCGGTTACGATTGTATTTTATCTGTAATCCCATATTCCGTTAGGATATGGACTGTACCTTGTATTACGGATCCCTTCCCCTATATAAGGAGGGTCCGTGTGCCTCTTGGGGCACGATTCTTTTTTCTTCAATCATACAATCAATAACACACTCGGCGGAATCATCCCCGGACAGGAGTAGGGTATTACTTCTTTAATAAGAAGGCATGAACCTGTATAAAATTCCTTGTCTCCAAACCCATCCACTTTCCTAGCTTGACAGCCACCCCCTTTATTATTGCCGAAATCTTGTTTCGACAGGTCTAAAAGCATATCTGAAAGGAAATGAAGCAAATGTTAGATGTGATAGGAGGGATTAATTTTTTTCAGCAGAGAATGACCAAACTGGAGATGGCTGCATATCCAGCAACATGCCATCGGAGGAGCGCAGATGGCTGGACAGCCACACACCTAAATCAAGCTTAGACCTAATCCATGACGGAGATGATGGGGGAGATCACAGAGTAGAACCATATCTAAAGACATTGGTTAGTGGAGCTGACTTTGTCATGCACATTGGCCAGCACGCTTGCTCCATCCCATACCCAAACCCTAACCGCAGATCGCAACCCTAACCGCAGATCGCAACCCTAACCACAGTGGCAACTCATATTGTGTATGTTTTACAATCTATACAAATTGGCCATTAGCAAAAACAAATAGAAATTAAGGTTTACTGTTCCATGACCCCATGACCCAGAACTGGCGATTTTATAGCCAATTCTGGAGATATGAGAGTTCAGTATTTTCGCCAGCTTGTCATTAATTAGCATCAATCTATTTTATAGCCACCAATAATAAAAGGAAAATAGATCCACGGTTTTACCTTCATGAAGAGCATACCATATACAGTAATGAAGAGCATGCATATCCCACACTGTTACAAATAACAACACGTAATTTCAACATAATGAAACAGTTCGTAATTTCCTAAAGCATGCTGAGTAATATAGCATCAGTATATAACAGCATGAGAAAGTTGAAATTACCCGCACTGGTGGTCATAGAAGCATCAGTGAAAGTGGCATCACATATTCAGTTATGTTAGCTATGGTCCAATGTTTGCCTCATATTGTGGTCTCTTCTATGCGCCCATGCCTGAAAACGAAAATGGATGAAAGTGGTCAGTGAGATGCTGCTAAATATAAATATTGCCTCATGCAAAAATATATGCTATAGTTTAACCCAATACCAATTCATATGATAAAAAATAGAGTATGGAAGGTCATTTATCAAAACAACTAAATAATGATCATGCATAGGGATATAACGATTGAACAACAAATAAGATTTCCCAAGGAACTACCAAAAAAACTGAAATAATACCAGGCAATAACAGTTAATAGGTAGAGAAATCCTGAAGAGCAATTGCCAAGCAGCTGGAAGCCTTGAACCTGAAATATGAAGGACATAGGAATTAACAAACGAAGCTAGTCAAAGAAGCAAGAACACTATTAGAAACCTATAAAGGTGAAGAAGATGTAACAATGTAAAATACCTTTCATGGCTTTGATAATAATAACTGCATGCAGCACCCACCAAAAGTATGGTCCAACGTTGTTAATGTTATGATAGGATAATCTGCATTCAGATCAATTGGAGAACACATATCAACAACATATGGATTTAGAATATAAGAAACATGTGACTATAAATAACTTTGATGTTGAACTCATAGAGTATCCTGTGAATATAAATATATTGCTTCCCTATTTTTAGCTACATAAGCAACTGATAGAGAGGATTTTGACATTGAACTCATAAATCCCTTCCCTAAGAAATGTGCCATTGCCATATACTTTTTGCTTGACTGATGCACCCTGCATACATTTTTATGGTCATATATAGACATAAAAGGCTAATGAATTACCTTCAGTCACTTACTCATTGTACTTTGAGGCACCGGCCGATCAATGCAGCAAACATTTGCTCAATCAAGTTAATTAACATGTAAAGCAAGGCAGAATGGGTATGTACATCCAAGTGGTGTATATGTATTTGCAGGAAAAGGTAGTAACGTACATATGTGATCCTTACGTTTGTGCTTCCAAAAATAGCTCCAGGCCTGCACATCAAAAAAAAAATTTCTGAATCAACGGAATATGGCCTTCTAGTAGTGAAATTTCAGAAGCATAATGCAGGTAAAGCATTTGTAACATCATATCTTCAGATCTGATTGACCATGCACTACAGAAAAATCAAGCAGAGGCTGCCACCAGTAATGCAAGCTTGATGTAGAGAGCATGAGACGGATGACTATAAAGAGAACTGAGAAATCAATTTGAGGAGTCGTATCAGTAGGAGGAGACTTGGCTGCTGCCACCCACGTCGAGCTTCACCTTTTGGTTACCGCGTGCTTGTGGGTGCTCGATGCGGCACAGATCTTGCAGAACCAAGTCCGCGTGGGATGGGGAAGGAGATGAAATGGCGGCAGCAGTGGACATCGAACTCGCAAGAAGGCGGCGGCAGTCGCCGCTTGCTTGATGGGAAGACGACGATGGTAACCACTGGCTCCGCACGGCGGTGGCGGCAGCGGCTGGTCCAGCGAGCTTGAGAGGAAAGCAGCGGCTACAGCTTGGCGAGCCCGAGGGGAAGGCGGCGGCTAGCTACAGGCTCCATGAGCAGGCGGCGTATGGGTGGCAAGAGGGAGATCGAGAGGAGAGGAGGATGGGAAGAAAGGCAGCGACCGTCGTCGGGCGCCGTGGGAAGGCATGATTCTCGATTTCTCTCCTCAACTGGAATAAGCGGCGGCAGGGATCGGAAGTCGGGGATTAGTTAGGGCAACAGGATGGGTGTGGAGCGAATACACGTGGACAGGCAGATGGAAGCGGCGTGGGAGCATCGGACGGCGTATGCACAGATCGACACTGTTACCCTGTAGCAACGCATGGTGCACTGAGACTGCTCGGAGGCTTGGTTACAAAAACTAAGGTTTTGATATGATTACGAATACACCCTCTACAAAATCTTTTCCGTGGACAAAAATACCCCTCCACCTTTCTACTACCATTAATAGTGGTGGCAGTAGAAACAGATCTCAGCCCTTTGATCAAATAAGATCAACGGTTTAGATTACTTTCTACTACAAGTAGAAGGCACCGGAATCAGACTCTATATTAATATATTGATTTCTATTTTTCATGTAACCTATAGCAGATAGTAGTATTTTTTTTCTTGTCATATGTATGCAGTGGCGAAGGGCGAGGTAGGCCGAGGTGTAGCGCTCGCCATACCTCGTGCCGCCTGCTAAACTCCCCACCCACGCGGTTTTCTACGGGCAGGGCACTGAGCCACAGAGAGCGCAAGGACGTGCAAGGGCGTGAGGAGTTGCATGCGCCATCGAAAACAGGAAGCAGGCCAAAGTCCATTAGGCTTGTTTTGTGCAAACGTGGCTTTTGAGTATCAAACCCTACACCCAAATTTCTTTCTCCATCTCCTCCACTTCCATCAAATCCCCAATCCGGCAATACCAGCGGCGGCGCTGCTGTTGCCTGGTGGCAGCTGGAGTGGACACGAAGAGGGGTGTGGCCGTCAGGCTCCCGAATGGCGGGCGCAGACAAGCGGCATCCGCGCTGGGAGGCGGCGCGGCACGACACGTCGACACCTCGGCTGGCGGCGGAGCGGTAGGGGCAACGACGAGCTATAAGGTAGTGGCCAGCCGGCCATGGGCGCAGCCGCGCATCGCTTGCAGAAGCACGCAACAGCCAGCTACAACCCCCTGCCAACTAGTCAATCAGCAGCAGTGCAGCACCAAGCATAGCAAGCAAGCCAACTAGCCTGTAGAAAATGGATAGAAAGAGGAAAGTGGAGGCGTTGGCAATATGGCATCATAAAGAGGTACAGATTGTTGACAATTTCAAAACAATGCAATTTGCAAATTCAAAGTGTATAAATTTATTTTTGAAATTGCATTTATGTAAATTTGTTTTGTAGATTTAGAGAGTTATTTCAACCGGGTTCCAATTACATAGACTGAATCATGAGGAGTTGCGATATTTTTGAGTACCTGCTATTCTATTTATACTTGTTTGCAAATGAATGATAAGTGTGAACATGTGATTAGTGATTGTTGCCATGATTATTGTAGACTTGTTGACCATATCGCTCATTGAGAATTTTTTTTATTTGTTCTTGTTCCATGCTAACTCTCACATGGGTCACACCTAATTTTTTTTCATCCTCCGTCGCTATAGCGCAGGGCATGGTGCGTTTGTTGCAACCAGGCATGGGGTTAGACCAGCTGGGCCTGTGCTGTGCTCGGGTGGAGCAGGCAAAGGCATAGCTTTATTAGCATTTTGCACATGCTGTTAAAGTTTGAAATCACTCTATCATTTATGTAAAAAACACTATGTTTGTACATTGACTTTGCATAATATCGTTGCAGGCATCATGGTATTGGTAAGATGATCACTTCAAATGAGTTCACGCGTGATTTGAAAAGGAAAAAGTACGAATTACCCCCCCCCCCCAAACTATCACGGTCGTCCGAATTACCCCCCTGAACCACAAAACCGGACATTCTTCACCCCCAACTATACAAACCGGACGAATTACCCCCCTCGACCCAATCCGCGGTGGTTTTGGACTACGTGGCGTACACGTGGCAGTCCAGTCAGCATTTTATTTATAAAAAAAAGTGGGACCCACATGTCACACACACACTCTCTCTCCTATCTCTCTCACACACACTCTCTCTCTCCTCTCGGCAATGGCGGAGGCAGTGAGCGCCGGGAGGCGAGGCGAGGTGAGCGGCGGCGGCGAGGCAGTGGAGGAGGCGAGCGCGGCGGCCGACGCCATGCGTGACAACCAGCCCCAGCCCGACGCCGTCGCCATCCCCCTCGGCCGCACCACACGCTGTCATCCGTCGCCCGTCGCCTCGAGCCCCGTCCACGCGCCGTCACCCCGCGCCGCCTCGCCTCCTCTGCCACCGCTCTCGCCTCCTCTGCCGCTACGCTTGCCTCCTTCGTCGGAGCCGAGCGCGTGCAGGCGTAGGTGCCACCGCCGCCGCACGCAGCCGCCTTCGGCCTTGGCTCCTCGCCCTCCGCCCGCAGCCGCGCCCGCGCCCGCCCGCCTCCGGCCTCGGCTCCTCTCCCGCCGCCCGCTGCCGCGCCCGCACCAGCCGCCCGCTCGCCTCCGACCTCGGGTAGCTCCTTGCCCACTGCCTGCAGCCGTGCCCGCGCTAGCCGCCCGCCGGCCTCCGCCCTCGTCTCCTCACCCTCCGCCCGCACGCCAGCCGCCCGCTCGCTTCCGGCCTCGGCTCGTCCTCGCCCGCTGCCGCAGCCGTCTCCGCCCCCACCGGCCACCGGCCTTGGCTCCTCGCCCGCCGGCGGCCTCGCCTCCACGCCGCCAGCCACTGCCTCTGTTCACCGAACCGGGAGAGAGAGAGAGGGGGGGAGAGAAGAAGAGAAAAAAAAATGCTCGCAGGTGGGTCCCACCGGTTTTTATTTAATTTTGCTGACTGTATTGCCACGTGGGTGCCACGTAGGCTGAAAACCGCTTCGAATCGAGTTAGGGGGGGTAATTTATCCGGTTTTAAGAGTTTAGGGTGTTAAATGTCCGGTATTGTAGTTTAGGGGGGTAAATCGTACTACCTCAATAGTTCGGGGGGGGGGGGTAATTCGTATTTTTTCCATTTGAAAATATTACCTTCCCATGTATTTAACTGCGTTAGCATTATTATTTAATTTCACTTTTTCACCATTTTCTTTTACTATAGCACTTTTATGCCGTCAATATTTTTGGGATCAGTTTAAAATTTTCTTTCGAGATACAAGTGCTGTTCTTTTTATTGGTATTTCAAAGTTTGGTAGGGTAATAAACTTTTGATACATAGTTGCATGATATATGTATTTGATATTTCTTTAGAATGATGAGGACATTACTTTATCGGATACGCACGTAACTTCACATGTTCCAATGATAATTCCAAGTCAAAGTACAAGTCCAAGTCCAGTACCTCCGAAAACAACACTTACTCCAAACAGATCTAGCGCCTTCATGCCAACTCCGATTTGAGTGATTTTGGACTTGATGGAAAGCTTATCTCGCTACCTTTCAAACGCATCCAGTCTCATATCCAAATTCATTCCGAGTCAACGGGAATCGTCAAAACAAAGCAGTGTTATTGCTGAAATTGAACTTTGGACTTGGGCCTTGTAAATTGTAATAGATTGGCCCATGTCGGAAGTGTCTCTCTCCACCTCCACGAATTAACACTTAACCCTAGATCTATTTTGCTCTATAAATATCTATGTACACCCTCTAGAACAATTGGGTTTTGTTTACTTGAATTTTTCCAAGTGCCATTCACCCTGTCTATAGTCCTCGCTCGATTAGTCGGCGACTATTGATTCAGAGCCCCTAATAGTTGGTGTGTTGATTTACCGGGTCGATTAGATCTACCACTTCAATCGCAACTATTCCTTTATGCTTAATTATATATTCGCAATATTTAGATTGCATCTTATCTTGTTCCTGTAGTGTTTTCTTGTTGGCTTTGCATGAATGATCAACCGCATGTCACGTTTGGTATGTCATCTTTTGTGGTGTAGCGATTGCACAGTGTCCTGAACTTGTTATGGTTGGTAGCCACGTCGCAAACGTCGCACTCGATCAAAGCGAGTGTTATCCCCCTCACCAAAAGATCGGGCCACTAGAGAGAGCGTCATCAGTTGGTACCAGAGCTTCGGTTGCCTCGTGAGGATTTTAGTTTTATAGATTTATTTTTCCTACCCATCACCCACAAAATTGCCACACCAGTTTTTCCATCTCCAAACCTTAATTTTAGGCCTTGCAATTTTCATTTAGTTCTAGATCATTGTCGTGTCGAAAGTGCTGATTTATTTGAGTTTTAGATCATTGTCGTGTCGAAAGTGCTGGTTTTAGTATGTCTCAGTCTTAAGTTTTGAGTCTTTTGTAAGTTGGGGGAGTTGCTTGTCTTCGCATCATCTTGTTTCTAGCCGGCCGGCCAGGGTCCTTGCAAGTGCAGCGTGCGGCTTGGTCTTGTGTCACGTTGAAAAAAAAAATAGCAGATCAATCCATTCCTGATTTGGTTTGTTGCTTGAAATATATGGATCTGTTTCCTCTAAATTTTCAGTCAGTTTCCTTTTCATTGGGGGATATATCTGTTTTATTTTCCTCCTGTTGTGCGCAACGCAAAAAAAAACTGAGTGGGTCCCTTGCTTATCTCGTGCATGCAAGACCGGTTTCCTTGTTTCTTCGTTTGATTAGGCCTTTCACAGTACAAGCACCCCAAACAGGAACCAAGCCTAAAAAGTTGGTTCGAAGACACTCATTCCCACAGTGCAAATACCCTCTTTTGTGTGGCTTAATTGGATGAAAGTAGTGTGGGAAGAAACCGAGCCCACAGTGGGCGTGGTCTCGGGCTTGCGGACACGGGGTAGTGGGGCGAAATAATTTTCCCACCTACCCACGACTCGTTTTCTCCTCAACCTCCCCTCCATCGCTTTCTCCTCCTCCCGGTCGCCCTTCCCGTCGCTCGCCGTCGCCTCCTCCCCATCCGGCGCCGGCTTTGCTTCTTCTCGCCGCGCTGCTCTACTTCTCCTCGCCTCCTCTCGCGTCGCGTCTCGTGTTGCGGCGGGCGGCAGTCGTCGGCTCGGGCTAAGACATGCCGATGCATCTCGGGCTTGCAGGTGGCGGGGCGCCCAAGCCAGGAGGTCGAGGTGGTGGTGGTGGTGGTGGCGCCTCCTCGCCCACAATGCACGCGGCGGCGGTGTGGAGGAGGAGGAGTATATCCGGCGGGCGGCGGGTTCTTGGCGGGCGGCGGCCGGCGGTTCTTGGCAGCGGCGGCGGCGGGTTCTTGGCGGCAAGCGGCCGGTGGTTCTTGGTGGCGGGAGGCAAGGAGGACGCCACCGCCGTCATCCATGGTA